AATTATATTATGATATTTTCTAATTGACTAATTTTTCAAGATTTTATTTTTGGTCATTTTTTTCAATTCAGCTTATCAACTAGTTTTTATTAAAATCGTATTTAATTCTCATCTATCAACTAACTTATCAAACAACAGTTAGCTTATCAGCTAGTTTGTCAAACATAGCCCAAAGGTTGGACTTGGATGTGCAATTCARCAATGTCATTTAAGCATGAAAAAGGGAGTTGGTACTTATGGATTAGATAAAGAAAGACAACATCTTATTCATTATGAATATTGAATTATTCCAAAGAGATGACAACACCAAAGACTTTTCATTGGATTAAATTAAGCAATGGGGATCACGTCTCATTGACCAACAACAACAAGAAGAAGATAAGGAAGAAAGACGAAAGCTTGTGTGTTTGGTGAAGTCAAATGACCTAATCCACCATTTCTATATTCACAACCAAAATTTCATTTGGATCTATCTTTTTGTTCAATACCAAGCATCCAACACTCGAAAGAATTCTTTCTCGTAATTATGGAGGGACTGATCCCGATGATGTACAAAAACATCAAAAGAAGCATGACCGTGAAAAAACGCCATCAAAGCTACAACATCGCAGATTTCTACCCACAAGGATACAGCTATCACTATCCGGTAAAACAACACGATAACCAAGCAGTCTTAATTGCCAGAGATACCGTTCTCTTTCCAAAGGAAAAAAACGAAGGAGTCTTAGCTAAAAGAAGCAAGTCCACAAATTCTCATGTCCATAAGAAGCAACTTGTTCGATTCAGGAGCCATAAACTCTTTTCTTGTGTCACGGGTGGTGTCTAAAGCTTTCATTCATTCTCGGAGTTRGGTTCGGGTGAGAAATCAAAATTCGTGAGAATTTGTTAGTGGAAGTTAACACGCTAACATTTCATATAAGGTATGTTCATGTAATATTTGTTCAACACTTTACGTAACTTTCTCACGGAAATTTCGATTTCTTACCCATCCCAAACCTTCATTGTCATTTTATCAATCTTATGTGTGCATATGTATATATATATATATATATATATATACAACCTGTCTTTTCCAACTGTATGTAACAACAATTACTTGTATATATATATATATATATATATATATATATATATGTTGTAAAAGGGTGTGAATTGAAGTTTGTTGATGTTAGCTATGTTTGAAAATGTATCAAGTTTTGGAGCATCTGGGGATAGGTTCAAGGAGGGACAAGGCAAGATCGAGGGGCGATAGAAATGATGCAACAAGAGTTAACTATTTTCTTTTTGTCCTTGTGGTTTATTAGAAATTACTAATATTATTCCATGTGGTTTGTTTATTATTACTAGAAGGGTATYCGTGCAAGRYATCGAGACACATTTCGATTTYAATGTTTCGTTTTATTTTTTATCTATGTCGATATAATACGATTTTATGTGGTCTTAAAAAARCGATAATGTTTTTATTTTTAAATAAAATATAWATTTGAAAATATCATATAAAATTTGCAAAAAA